GAAGACTAACTCTCATAGCTTTGGAGAGCGCTATGCAAGCTGCTAAGGGAGAACATCAGTCAGTGGTCCAACCCCAGCTGCAAGGCCTAAAAACTACATCAATGACAAGCACAGCAAATGATATTGGTGCAGTAGTGGCACTTTTATCTTGGGGGTAATCAACAGCTACCTAATTGGACTTCAATTCCACTCAATGGTAGGAAACTCATGTGTGGTCTACAGTGTGGTACTGTAGACCTAGCCAAATACGCATAGCTGGAGAGGTCATAGAGCTTAGAGAAAACTTCAAGGCTGTCATATACCTAAACAAATATAATTTCTTACTATGTAAAAAATATAAATCTTTAAATTTACAGACAAGTATCCCAGTCACCAGCCATCAAAGAAGCTTCATTTTCAACAGACAGAGATTATTACACAGTTCCACAAATGGTCACACACAGAAATTTTCTGTGAATTCCGAGCCTAAGCACTCTGGTTCTTTTATATACTAAACTTGTTCCTGGGCAAGCAAGCAGAATACAGAAGCCAATCATTGAGCATTAAGCTTGAGCAAACATTATCAAGAAAATACATAAGAAAATACAGTTTTCCACCCAAACCCCCTACCTTCACAGAACTAGCTTCCTCCTCTTTCATAAACTGACATTATCAATCTTACTGTTTTTCTACATTGCCTTTACTGGTCACAAAGTTCCCTATAGGGGGGGTTTGTTGTATAGCAATTGTATCTTAGGAACCTCTAAATGTTGTGGGATACTTTTTGTACAGAGAAACTATAACCAGGAGTGAAAAGTTTAAGTTCGCAAGCATACAGGTAGAGAGTCCCCTTAATAATTTCTTTTCTATTAATCAATAATTACTATTTTGCAGAAGCAAGCCAAGCATAACCTACAGAAGCCTTAAATCAACAGTTAGCAGGAGCACTCTAGGACGCTCTGACCTATTCCCAAGACAACCAGGGTCCAGCTTGCCTGTGTTTCCATATCCTGGGCCAACTGCCTGATAATTTCAGAAACTAGAGCAGCCTAAACTTTAACATGGCGTAGCTATGGTCAAGAAGGTGCCCTATTGCAAAACCTCACCAAATACATATAGTTGGAGAGGTCATAGAATTAGAGAAAACTCCAAGGGTGTCATATCACTAGACACATGTAATTTCTTACTTTGTGTAAAATATGAATCCTTAAATTTATAGACAAGTATTTCAGCCACCACCCATCAAAGAAGCTTCTTTTTCACAAGGCAGAGATAATTACAGATTTCCAAAACTGGTCACAAACAGAGATTGTCTGTAAATTGCCCAAGTTATGTGGCACATTTAGGATGCAACCTCTACACCTAAGGCTCATGGAACATAGAACAAGGGAGGAAGAGAACACTAATGCATCTTTCAGCTCTCATCAATGAAGCTCCCTCATGCAACAGAGGACCAGGAACACAAAAGGTCACAAATGGCCAAATTGCAGAGAATAAGAGTCTGCAAAGTGTGGGTCCTTGGACAGGACTCCTATAGCAAAATCCACCCACCCAGGGCTCAGGGACCATTGTGGAAGAGGGGACAGAAAGATTGTAAGAATCAGGGAGGAGGTGCGTGACCATACAGAAACAGTCCTACAGGCACCTGGGACCCTTCTCATACAAACCTATAGCAATGGTGTCAGCATGCACAAGACCCATGCAAGTGTAAGCAGACAAAAACCCAAACTGTAGAAATGAACAGCAGTCCCCAATCTTAGTCAAAGAATTATTAGCAGCTGATTACTGCTGGTTGAAGAAGAGCTGATCTTCTTAAAGGGAGGGACTCTAGATAGACTGACTAGATCCCAGTGGATGAACTTACACAGAGGGACATCTGGGGACACTAACTTTACGTGATAGGCCTTAACACAAATGACAGAGTGTGCGAACTCTAGTGCGGGGGGTTGGGGGGGGTATGGGAGGGTGCCAAAGGGGAAGGGAGTATAAAGATGATTTTCTGTATGAAATACACAAAAATTCAATAATTTTTTTTAAATCTTGAAGAAATTTGTTTTAAAACAATTCTTTAGTATATATATTTTTACCATTTAGTAAAAATGAAAGAAAATTTACATACCAGTGAGATGGATGTGTTTGTTTAACACAATAGAATTCAAAGACATACTAATTTGATACGTGCCTCTGAGAAATGACAGTAAGAAAATATCAAAAGTCTTAATTTTAAACCATTGTGTTTTTGTAGAGCAGAAAACTTTTTATGCACTGTGAAAACAGTGCTGTTTATTGCATACAGTAGTCTTGAATCTAGGCCTAGCGTGTTTCAGGAAGCATTGATGTGTGTACATTGTGCATATGTCATGTGTTCAGAACCAGGGTTGTACTGAAGTTGCACTGTATAATATGGGCGTGCTGCCAGAAACACCTCAGATTCATTATACATTTAGTTTTGAATTAATTTTTGGTTGCTGAGTGTGGTAATGGTTAATATGAATTGTCATCTTCACAGAATCCAGTATCACCTGGGGGACAAGCCTCTGACCATGCCTGGGGGATTATCTTAATTATGTTAGTTGATGTGGGAAGACCTGTTTTAACTGGCTGGAACTACTCTATGGGTAGAGCATCCTGGACTGCATAAAATGATGAAAATGAGCTGAGCACTAACATTCATCATTGCACTCTGCTTTCTGATTGTGGTTGTGATGTGAACAGCTACTTTAAGCTCCTGAGACCTTGATGTGACCCTGATTTCCCTGCCCTGATGGATTGTAACCTTGAGCTGTGACCAAGAATAAACCCTTTCTCCCTCCAGTTACTTTTGTGTCAGGAAACTTTATCACAGCAACAGGTAAAGAAACCAAGACAGGTGTTCAGAAACCTTATTGCTGCCATAATTTTCACAATCCCACATCCAGTTAAATAGGGTTGCAGATCTCTTCCACTCTACTCCAGTAGGTCTCATTGGTTGACCCTGTTGAAGAAGCGTAGTGATGCTGCAGCTTTGGGCACTTGGTTCATGGCCCTTTGTCCTTTTTATTCTGATTTCTGCTGACATTCTGGTGTCAACTTTAAGGCAGTTTATAGCATTATGGTGAGGACAGCTGTGAGCTTTAGTGGAGCCTTTGTCTAGTGGGCCTTGCTCTTTAGAGTCAAGTCTCAAACATCTACTTAAGGAGCAGCTTAAAATAATGGAAGAACTAAAACCAGGCGTGATGACACACACCTTTAATTCCAACACTCAGGAGGCAGAGGCAGGAGGATTTCTGTGAGATTGAGGCCAGCCTGGTCTTCATAGTGAGTTTCAAGTCATCTGGGGCTACAGAGAGACCCCGTCTCAAAAAGATTTAAAAAAAAAAATAACCCATACACAATTATGAATTAAACCAATAATATAAAAATATAGAACTATAAGGACAGTGAACTAGAGAGATGGTTCAGCCCTTGAGAGCACTGGCTGCTCTTGCAGAAGACCTGGGTTTGGTTCCTAGTACCCACATGGCAGCTCACAACCATCCATAACTCCAGTTTCAGGGGATCTGATGCTCTCTTCTGGCCTCTATGGGCATTGCACACATGTGGCGCACTTACATGCAGGCAAAACACTCATACAGATATGTTAAAAATAACTAAAAGGACAAATAATATTTTCTTAAAAGGTTGAAAAAGGGCTAGGGAGATGGCTTAATAGATAACAGTGCTTGTCACACAAGTATGAGGACCTGAGTTTGAGTTTCCTGAACCTGTATGAAAGCCAGAGCAAGTATCTATTATCCTAGGGTTCCTAAGGGGAGATTGAAGAGGGGATGGGAGACATAATGGAAAAACAACTGAGACTTTGTCTTCAACAAGGTGGATGGCAAGGACCCATATACCTGAGGTGGTCTTCTGACCTTCAATACACATACTGCCCATATTCATAGACAGTATTTGTGTGTATGCTCATGCACACACATACACACATTAGATAGACACAGATACATAAAAGGTTGGAACAAGCCATGTTTGGTGGTTTATAGTTATAATCCCAGCATTCAGGAGGGAGAGGGAGAAAGATTGTCAACCTGGATTACAGAATGGGACCTTGCATCCAAAAACAAAGGTGGGACCCTGTCCCCCAAACAAGCCTGGAGGATTGTTATCAGATTGGAGCATCTCAATGATAAGGGTTAGACTCAGCATTGCTATTCCTTGTTTTCTTTATTCCTACCCAGTACCAGCCCCATCCCTACCCTGGTACCCTCCTAGGTGGATACAATCAGTGTCTCTTCTCTGCCTGTGAAGGGAGACAGCTCTTGGGGATGTATACAGGTGGTCCAAACAAGGGTTTTAAGGTAAGAGGTCAGAAATATAACAGACCTACATATTTGATCCTAGGAAAAGCAAGTACTAGTTAAATAGAAAAAAAAAATTTTCAAAGTTGAAATGCATTGCTAAAGGAAGGGTGGGAGTGTATCATTGATGAGGATCAATCTCTGAGCTGCAGTGGCTGGTCCAGGTATAGACAGCCTTAGTCTATTCAGTGTTGAATGTCAGTTCATGAGTGGGTCTTTTGTGCAAATGTCTGTTTCCAGAGTCATGTGTGGGTATATCATGTCTTTATGCCTTCCCTTCCTCCCTACCCTTACACTGTTGTGAACATATTTTGAAAAAGCCGTTACAACTTGCTGAGAGGAGTTTCTGGTCTTGAACTCACTAATTTAAGTCACTATCAAAACTTCCATTAGACTTTCCAAAAAACTGGTAACAGTAATGTAGAACAGATTCTTTTGTGTTTTGATGAATAATTGCTGTAAAATTTTCAGTTGATGTCAGTTCTTTTACCTTATTTAGCAAAGCAATATGAAAGGAAGACTGGCTCTTAGAGTGAGTAGGTCATCATCAGACTGGAGATAAAAAATAGTTGTTGGTGACATGGTCACTCCTATCTCTGGGATGAGAGGAAACACTCATGAGGCAGATGAATGTGCATGGACACTGTGGTTCTTCTGTGTACCCTCTGACCTGCTGTCTTTACTTAGATGGAGCCAGCACCGGCCCAGTGGTCAAGGAGTGGTTTGTGTATCCTGGGAATCCCCTGAAGCACCCAGACCTTGTTAGGCCTCTACAGATGACTGTTCCAGGTATGTATAGCCTTGATCTCTCCCATTGTAGGATGCCCGCTCAAGAATGAATCTGTTATATGAATGTCTGTTTGCAAAATTACATATGGACTGGTTTTCATTTCAAGTTCTTTCCCCTGCAGGGTTTATCCTGTGATAAACCCTCTGATAGGCTTTGAATGTTTGTGTGTGTATACGTGGAGACCAGACACAATATTGTGTGTTTTCCTTAGTCCCACTCCATTTTATTTTTTAAGATAACTTAAAAAATAAAACGCACTGATTTGGCTAGACTGACTGGCCAGTGAGCCACAGGGATTGTCCTGCCTCTATCTCACCAGCTCTGGCAGGTGCATGCCACCATGACTGGCTCTTTTATGTGGGTCCTGGAGGATTGAACTCAGGTTTTCATGCTTATATGAGTACTTTACCTACTGAGCCATTTCCCTAGTCCCTGATGGGCTTTTTGTAACGGGATCATGCAGGCATTGACCTAATCATAAATCAGTCCATTGATGGAGTCATAATTTGGTAGTATTATTGGGAGGTTTTGGAGACTTAGGAGGTGGAAGCCTCAAGCTGGGGGAAGTAGGTACCTGGGGGTGTGCTTTTGAAGGGCATATCTTGTCCCTAGCTCCTACCTGGTCTCCGTTTCCCAACCTCCGTGACACGAGCAGCTTTGCCATGTGCTCCCTGTCATGATATTCTGCATTACCGCAAGCTGAGCCACAATGGGGTCAAGTGACCATGGACAGAAGTCATCAGTCAAAATATCTTTTCTCCTTTAAACTGTTTCACTCGGGTATATGTCACAGCAACAAAAGACTATCTTACATAGACCTACCCTTGATCCGTCTATTCTGTGTCTCTGCTTCTCCCTCTCCTACTACTTAAGGCCCAGAGCAGTGGAAAGAAAAAAAAACAGGATCATGGTCAGAGGCTACTACTGCCTGTGCTCCTGCCTGATACCCCGGGGTCACTCAGTAAACACTATAACATTGGACAGGACTGGGCTCTACATTTTTGCTTGAACCAACTACCTTGAAATATATTTTGATGAGAAACAGAAGTAAATAGAGAGATGAAATGGATTATTGCAAAATTGACATGGTAACACACGCCTTTAATTCCAGCCCTTGGGAGGCAGAGGCAGGCCTCTATGAGTTCGAGGCCAGCCTGGTCTACATAGCAAGTTCCAGGCCAGCTGGGGCTACAGGGAGACCCTGTCTCCAAAAAAAAAAAAAAAAAAAAAAAAAAAATACTCACACCTGGAAAAGCAGGGCTCCATTGCTGGCATCTGGGACTATAATGAGAGATTAAGAAAAACAGTTCATCAGAAATAACAAGAAGTAAATCCAAAGTGTCTGAACAAAGTCAGGAGTGACCAGTAGTTGGGTGTTTCTTATGTGTGGATCATGCAGAAGGAGGCTGGAGTTGAAAGGTTTACCTTTGCCATTTCGTCAGAGGATAAATATTTTTGTAAAATTTTGGTATTCCTTTCCAAAAGTATGTTGCTGTTATTTCCTGTCCCCTAATGTATAATTTACCAACTATTGATGGCACAGTAGTGACTTTTTGGGGGTCTTTTTTGAGATGGGGTCTCCGTATAGCCCCAGCTGGCCTGGAACTCACTGTATAGACCAGGCTGACCTTGAACTCACAGAGATCTGCCTGCCTCTGCCTCCTGAGTGCTGGGATTAAAGACATGTGCCACCAAACCCGCCTTAAAGTAACCTTTTAAGTAAGAATTATACTGGGAGATAAATTGATAGAAGTTAATTGTAGAAGATATTTTGGTAGGATAGCTGAAATAATATTCTGAAAAGATTTAGGTACGTATATATATATACTCCTGTCTAGCAGTATCTTTCATAAAGTATTATTATGTGGATTTTTATAATGAAGTTCTCTTCTTTGTTTGAATTAAGAGACTGGCTATTCATTGTACCATGAATTGATTTTGAAGGCTATTCTAATCCATGTTGTAACATAGAAATCATATAACTCTCAGAGTCGTGTGTGTGTGCTCCTGAAAACATTCTTTAAGATTTACTTATTATGTATATGTATGTGTGCCTGTGTGAATTTGTGTGTACCAGGTGCAGGCAGATGTCCATGGAGACCAGAAAAAGGCATTGGATTCCCTGAACTGGAGTCATAGGTGGTTGTGATCCATTTGATGTGGGTGCTGGGAATTGAACTTGTGTCCTTGGCAAGAGCTGTAATCACTCTTAACCACTGAGCCAACTCTCTAGCCTCCTCCCATGTTCTTTTTTAATCTTTTATGTATTCTTTTTTTTTTTTTTGATCTTTTTGAAACAGGTCTCCCTGTAGCCCCAGCTGTCCTGGAACTAACTATGTAGACCAAGCTGGCCTTGACCTCACAGAGATCTGCCTGCCTCTGCCTCCAAGTGCTGGGATTAAAGGCATGCGCCACCACACCCGGCTCTTATTTATTCTTTAATAATTTCATACATCTCTATCTCCAACGCCCCTGATACCCCCAGCCTACATGTACTCACCTTTATTTTTTTGTAACCCATTGAGCCCACTTAATGTTGCTACTGGAGTATTGACTGATCTTGTTGTCTTCATCTCGTGCAGGTAACTATAACTACAGTGAGTTCATGAGTGCAATGGCCATGTCATGTCCAGAATACAGCATTTCATATCATTCTTCCCCATCGTCTGCTCTTATGTTCTTTCTTCCCCCTCTTCCAGTATGTTCCCTAAGCCTTGAGGGTGTTGATATAGTAAATGTTCAATTTAGGGTTGAGCATTCAACAGTCACTTATTCATAGCACTTTGAGCAGTTATGAATCTCTGTATTAACTGCTGCTAACTACAGAAGAAGCTTCTCTGACCAAAGTTGAGAGCAGCACTAACCTAGGGATATAAACATAAATGTTTAGAACACAGTTTGGCAATATTCATATACTGAAACAATAGTGGGTTCCCCCCAGGGCCTGTGACCTCCCAAACCATGGGCTTTTGACCAGATTTATAGTACTTTGCATGAATTACTTTCTGTGGAGCAGGCCTCATGCCCATGGAGAAAGCTGTTGGTTACCTCCATAACCTTTATGCCACTATTGCCCTGTTGTGCCCAGTTCACGAGACCCCAGAGACCACCAAGGAGCCTACCGATGCAAACACACCAGGGTTTTTTTTTTGTTACAAGCTTAAGCTTGGGCCCACTCTGTCACCGACTCAGTGGATCTCAGATATGAGACCCCTTGCTTTTGGGAGACAGAGGTTTTTATAGGTTTATTTCAGCAAGTTCAGCAAGTAGGGGAGTAGGGGGGTCTCAGGCCTGCTAAGGATCTGATTGGTTGCAGCCCAGTGCCAAACCATAAACTGCTGGCTTCAGGAAATCTGAAAAGACGTTTGGACATTGAGTACTTTCCTGTCCCTGGTTAATTGACTGTTGGCGGGGGAGTTGTTCTCTATCCATTCCAAGTATACTTTTTTTGTGTGGTTTCTCCTGGAACAGGGCTCAGGGCTGGGTCAGTTCCATGGAGGTTTTATCCAAGATGGAGTCACTCAGGTCTCTCATTCCCCCCTCTGACTAGTACCTTGGTGGCCCATCATGTTCTTCATCACCCAGACTCTGGAGGGACTGATAGTGGGTTCGCATTACCATTAGCTGTATAGCTCCCAGCCACTCTTTTATAAAAGTTACTAATTTATTTAAAATGCAAGGCCCAAAAGTCAAGAGCATAATCAGAATGAGGAGGGGTCTGAGTAAGGTTGAAATCAAAGTGGTCAACCAAGGGGAGCTATTGAACCAGGATTCAAACCATCCTTGTTTAGCCCTGTATTCATTCTCTCTTCAATCCAGACTTTCTCTAACCTTGGCCAGGGATTCTTTGATCTACATAAAAACAACACTCTTCCTTAAGGGCAGCACAGAGGACTCCCTGCTGCAAGAACAACAGGTCTAGGCCTCTCCTATTCTGCAGAACCATTTCTGCCAAGGAGGTTAGGGATAATGGGAAGGGGCATTCCAAACATGATCTCAAAGGGGGTTAATCCCATCTGGTAAGGGGAGTTACACACTCAATAGAGTGCAAACGGAAGGAGAATCACCCAGTCACCACCAGTCTCTAAGGTCAATTTAGTTAAGGTCTCTTTTAGAGTTCTATTTATTCTCTCTACCTGTCCTGAACTCTGGGGTCTATAAGCACAATGTAGTTTCTAATCAATCCCCAGAACTGTGGCCAGACTCTGACTTACCTTGGACACAAAAGTCAGTCCACTGTCTGACTCTATCATCTGTGGAAAGCCATACCTGGGGAGGATGTCTTCCAGCAGTTTCTTTGCCACCATTTGAGCCATTTCATGTTTAGTAGGGAAGGCTTCAGTCCATCCTAAAAAAGTATCTATCTACAAAGGCTAGCAAATAACAATATGCGTACCTTCCAGGTTTTACCTCAGTGAAATCCATTTCCCAATAGGCTCCAGGTTTTCTCCCTCGAAGCCTGATTCCTGGGTTTCTAATATTTGACACCGCATTAGTGAGTTGGCAAGCTTTACAGCCATTGACAATGTCTTTAATCTTTAAATTAGCGTCCTTGATTTTTACTTTGGCATGTCAAATTAAGTCCTGCATTCTCTTGATGCCCATGTGGGAAGAACGGTGTATTTTTGCCAACATTTGTTTTCCTAATTTTTCTGGGAGGATCAGCTTCCCTTCTGCCTGGTAGGTTAGTGTTGTAGCATTCAGGGTTCACAGCTGAGTAATACCATTAATGACTTTTCTTCACCAGCAGCCTGCATGGGACCTTCCAGCACCCTGAAATCATTCTTGCTGGTACCTTGGCAGTGCTGTAGGCTGCTGCCTGCCTCTGTTGCCAATGCTGGATGAGCCACATGGCTCTTTCGCTATGGCACATGACTTAGGTAAAGGGTTCTCTTTGTTTATACTTAATGATGGTAAATAAGTCAAGATTTAGCTGGGTGTGGTGGCACATGCCTTTAATCCCAGCACTTGGGAGGCAGAGGCAGGCAGATCTCTGTGA